GCGATGGATCGGACCTCACCTGACGAACGTCGGGTAGAGCTCGGTGTTCACGAACACGACCATCTCAAAGGCCATGGTGATACCGAGCCGACCGATGCAGGCGACCGCCGTCTTCACCCAGAACATACCTGCAAGAGAAAGACGTTTTAAAAGAATTCCTCTCATCACTTCCTGTCCGTTGAGTTCCTCCTCGTACTCACTGTCAGGGATCAAGGCCGTGATGAAGCAGGAGGCTCCGGCGACGATGTTGGCGGTGGCGAAGGGAAGACGTCGGCCGATGCGCTCGATGGTGAAGAGGATGAGGAAGGCGGCGGGAAACTCCAACAGGCCAGAGATGAGGAAGTCGATGTAGACGTTTCCTCCCAGAATCCCCAGCCTCATGATCAGACCCTGGTAGACCACAGCACTGGTGAACCTGGAGGAGGAGCCGGTGGATTTATGTCCCGTGATCGAGCTCGGAAAGACACGATGAATCATTTGACTGGATATTAACTGACCAGTTGAAGCTGAGGATGAAAGTGTGTTTTCTCATTTTGGGAGTTCTGATCAGGTCCATGAAGGAGGCGGTGGAGGAGTCGGCGTTGTCGTCTGCCAGATTCTGAAGAAACAAATATACATCTTCATATTTCTTTATTACTTATTGCTCCTGTTTCCTTTATTCACTTGAATGTATTTCAAAATGCACAGATTCTGTCTGACGTGACGAGGCGGACACAGTCTGATCTGGTGTCTCAGTGTTTCTAACCGAACCAGCAGTTACCTCGATGTTCTTCGACAGAGTCCTCTTGTTTTCTTTGGCCATGTCCTCGGTGATCTTCACGGCTTTGGACTTTTGGTTCTGAGACAGAAGCCATCGTGGAGACTCAGGGAGGAACCTGAACGCAAAGACAAGAAGGTGCATGAAGAAATGACAGACGTGTTTATTGATTCACTTAAAAAACAGTTATTATATAATACGTGTGGTTCTTGTGAAGAGAGAAAGAATCTCACCAGTAGTAGGACAGGAAGAGGATGTAGGGGACGGTGATGACGACCTGCAGCCAGCGCCAGTCGGTGATGAAGTAGGCGAGCAGCGGGAGGAGGAGGATGCCAACGCTGAAGAACATCTGGTAAAGGACTCCCACCGTCCGCCGGTGCTCCACTCCCACGATCTCTGTGACTGAGGAAGAAGACGAGGACATGTCTCACATGTTAAATCACGTGTCAGGAGCAGAAAGGAAACAAAGAAGTGCAGGTTTTGTTGTTGTGTCTTACTCAGCACGTATCCGACCACCCAGCCTCCTTTCACTCCAAACCCGTACAACGTTCTGAAAACCAGCAGAGACACGTAGTTCGGAGCCACGGCCACCAGGATCCCTGTGATCCCGTTAAACAGGTTGGACATCAGGAAGCTCATCTTCCTGCCAAACCTGGAGGCGGAGACACAAACACAGCAGATATGAGTGAGTTTAACTTGTCGCAGCAACATTTCAGACACAGGACATTATTTAGGTGGAACCGACCGACGACCCGGCCGATCGCAGACGTACCTGTCAGCCAGGTAACCAATGGCAATGCTTCCGATCAGGAAGCCGATGTTGAGCGTGGCCTGGTACATGTCCACCAGCCAGCTGTCTGAACACACCAGGTCGAACTGGGAGGACACACAGACACACGGGGTTAGTTGGGTTTGAACCCTGGTTTCTCTTTCTTCATCTCAACGTTTTAAAAGTTCAACGATATCTCAACCAGGCCGCACTGCTCTGACCTGTAACCATGGAAACCCAGGAGACACAAGATGAATGAGCTCTCAACATGTCAGGAAACACACCTCAGTGACGAAGGACTGTCTCCCCTCGTAGTCGTACTCCCAGCCGTCTTTGCAGGCAGCTGTGGGAGTCTTGCTGAGGTCCAGCTCCTGAGAGTCGCAGGTGAGTGAGGTTCTGTTCCAGTCCAGCTCGTACTGCTCGCAGCTGCTGTGCTGCACGGCTCCAGAGCTGTTGACCTGCGGCAGCGTCAGCCTGCGACTGTCCGCCAGGCTCCAGCCGCACGCCTGCCTCCTCTCCACCACCGCAGCGTCCCGACACCAGTGGTCCGGCGTG